AGGTTATGAGATTATTTGTAAATTCATGTTCCGAAATGGATAAGAAATTTTCCAATTGCCCTAATTTTAAAATTAGGTCGAAGAATTCCATTTGCCCTAATTCTTAATTCCAATTTTTTTCGTAAATCAAAAGGTGATTGCGAAGCCGATTTCTAACAAGACCCAGCCCGAATTCTTGCTTCTGAAAAACAACCATGTCATCTTCTTCTTCTTCGTCTGCTTCTCGTCCTAGGCCGATGGTATTTTGTAGGTGTAGGAAGCACGCACAAGTTCGAACATCTTGGACACAAGAAAATCCTGGTAGAAGGTTTTATGGGTGTCAAAATTGGAAGGTTAGAATTTGAACATAATCCAAATCTCTTGGCTTTCTATGAAATTTACTTTATTGTATTTTTTTCAATACTCTGGATAGGAGGGCGGATGCAACTTTTTTAATTGGTTTGATGGTCCAATTTGTGAGATAGGTATGGTTCTAATTCCATATTTGAAGGACAAAACTCAGAAGCTAGATAGAGTAATTGCACATTTAGAAGAAGGAACTTTAAAGCTGGAGGAAGAGAATACAATGTTGAATGAGCAGAAGGCCAAATTGGAAAGTGAACTTTCAAACTTGAAAGAAGTGGCGAAGCAATTATCTGGGAAAAATAAGATTCTGGTATCAGCTTTGTTTGTGTCCTGGGCTTTCGTCTTGATTGTCATGATTTTTTATTAAGTTGGTTGTTAGTTTATTGTTATTAGTTTGCTGTTACTAGCTGGAAACTTTTGTTGCTGACAAACTATCGTTGAAAGTACAATGTTAGTACGGGTAGGAAAGTATGGGGTATGTATTGTAATGCACTCTATTTAATTTGAATTGCTACTTTGGGTTTTTCTTCTTGAAATGTGATTATGTTACTAGTGTGTGATAAAATAAAATGATCTAACTGGTATTGAAAGTGTGATATTTTAATTCAAAACTTGATGTGTTGGTCTTTGTGATTGCAATGGAAAGTTTGTTTTAGTCTGTGCATGCTTACTGCACAGTTATCTTTCCATAATGTTCATGCAAAGTTTTGTATGATATGTTATTCTCACACTAATATACATTGCCAAACAGGTAATGGATTTCAAGTTTATTTTTCAGACAAGCATGGGTAGTATGGATACTTGATTAACCATTTCAATGTGCTATATATATGATGAGTTGTGACAACTCAAGACAGGTGTTTAAGCTTTTCTGCATAATACTGGATTGGACTTGTGACAACTCAAGACAGGACTTTAAGCTTCACGAGTACAAATTTTGAGCTTTCATGCACTTGTGTTTGGTCAACATAATCAGACTGAATGTGACTGGTATTGAAAGTCAGGTACTTTGTAATTCAAAACTTGATGTGTTGCTCTTTGTGATTGCAATGGAAAGTTGGTTTTAGTCTGTGCATGCTTACTGCACAGTTATCTTTCCGTAATGTTCATGCAAAGTTTTGTATGATATGTTATTCTCACACTAATATACATTCCAAACAGGTAATGGATTTCAAGTTTATTTTTCAGACAAGCATTGGTAGTATGGATACTTGATTAACCATTTCAATGTGCTATATATATGATGAGTTGTGACAACTCAAGACAGGTATTTAAGCTTTTCTGCATAATACTGGATTGGACTTGTGTTAAAACTCAATACACGTCTATGGCCAGGTTTTTCAGCTTTACTGCAAAAGTTTAATTGATGGGAAATAACAGAGGTGAAGACCATACTGTTTAGCTTAAGTCAATGGGGTCTGCTTTATCTTTAGAATGCACGTGTATGGCCACGACTATGTGCTTATTTAAATGCCCAAGCACCCAAAATCAATCCACATTCGCAAAAACAAGAAAATAAGGAATAACGTTTTCAAAAAATCTTCTCACTTAAACTTGTACATTTGCAATGGCTCCCAGTTTTGGTGTAGTGCAGGCCGACTACCTGTACGACCTACATTGGACCCCAAAGCTTGATGAGTTTTTAATCGAGTTTCTGCTTGACGAGAAGCGCGTTGGTTTGTTTGTTCCATTTGCAGCTAACAATAGCAGTATCTTCGATGCTATGAGGGAGATAAATGGTTCATTTGAAACCAAATTTACGTCGGATTATATAAACCAACGTGTTGAAAATTTAGGCAAAAGATACCATATATTCTCACAACTTAAGCAAAAAGATGGGGTTCATTATGATAAGGCGAACAATGTTTACCATGCGTCCGACAACAAGTGGCATCAGTTGGTAACGGTGAGTCTTCGTATTGATGTTTGTATCGCTTTATTACAGTTTTGTTTCAGTTGCAAAGTAAAAAAAAATAAAAATTCATTTGCATGTAGTGGGATGATTTTTCGCTAGCTTACATGGAGGAAGGCGATCCACAACATGACAAGATTGTGGAGTTGTTTCACGTGGAGCCACCGTACATACCTCCATTCGAGTTTCATGTTCTGTCTGATAGCGACACCGAGGAACCTAGTAATGCAAGGAAGGGCAGCGACAAATGTGTTGATTTTGTAGATGTACATGACTACAGTAAGTTGGTACCGTACCCTGTTAGACCTAATGTCCCACGCAAAAAACAACCACCCCGGCCGGCCTTTTATATAGGCAGTAGTTCAAAGGCCTCAAAAGAAAAGCATTCAATACATAGTCAGACCGGGTCAACTGATGGCTCTGTCAATCAGTTACCAAATTACCATTCATATGAGGCTCGAGCCGATGAAGTAGAGTCAAATTCTGCGTCCACTGCGTGTTCTGCCACTCCAATGGATTACAAGTCGTGTTGGCCGAAGTACTAGGTCCTTCATTTTGCGTCCACTACACGTGTTCTGCCACTCCACTATCGTTTATGTTTGTACTTGTGTGTTAGTCAATGTTGTCCTATTTTAATGTTTATGTTTCTAAGCACTTATTAATTTGCATTGTACTTTTTTTTTGGCATGTTTGGGTTGTTGGAATGTTGGTTGTGGAGCTTATAAAATCAATAATGTAGTGGTGTGTCCCCGTACATTTCTTCAATGTTGATGTTGTCCTATAGTTATTCTACAGAGTACAGCTATATAACCAACCAACTGTTAGAGTAGTATACCCAGAGTTCCAATTTGATTGGACGTATTCTACTTGTAAATA